TACAAAGCCCATCAATAATGGAAAACACTAAGGGCTGGGCTGTGGTGTTGTGCTTTGTGGAAAAGATAAATCCTTCATGGAGCTGATTGGTAGGCACAGGAGAGAAAGTAGCCCACTCTCAACAAATTCACTGAGAAATGAAACTTAACAGCCAAAAGAGCGATGGAGATGGAAATCCAGCTTGATTCTGAGCAGATTTTGTGTGCAAACATAACTTCAGCTCCCTTAAAATAGCTTTAGGAACAATTATCTAGCCATTATTGGTACACTAATATAGTTATGGCTACTCTACCTTTTTGCCTGGTATAGAGGGTTTCTGAATTTTTATCCTTAGCATACAATAAGTAATAAACCTGAAAAAAACCCTAAGCTTTCAGTTTTCAATGCATTGGTGACCATTGGATCTCATGTCATTCTTTCATTAAGAATGTGTACACTTCAGAATTGGTCATGTAAAACAAGTTTACCAAACTGGAGATCCTTATAACTATATTATTGAGTTTGTGCCCCTCATTACTTTCCTAGAAAGGGAGTTATTACAAGGTAAAGTAATCCCCCTGCCAGGGAGAAGAGATAGTACTATCTATACACTTGGTTTCATAGTTATACTGGTTAATTGTCAAAACATGAGACAAAGACATAATTATTTTTTTCTTGTCACTGACTTGCTCTTAACATTTTACCTGTTATGCATATGTTCATATTTTTTCCAGGGAATCTTAGACCATACTTTAAGTCTCTTAAGATTTTTCTTCAATGTTAAGGAATCAGATAAAAATATCACTGTTCCACATTGTACTGATTAATTACATAAACAAATAAACAGAGCCAAGTATATTCATTCTGTGCAATTCTTAAAGAAAAAAATATAACATATACTAATAACATATGCATGGGAGTTTGGTGGTGATACACTCATGATACATGTTGATCCTGTTGTGATTTTATGGCACATATTCCTAAATTCAATTGGGAATAAAAATCTTAGAGGAAACATTTAAATGTTGACTATATGTAGATCTCATACTAACAGGAGATGCCTTTTAGAGATGCCTATAATTCTCTCCTATTTGATTATTCGTATAAATGATGTGATTCCTTTGGATTTTATATGTGCTACAGATCTGGCTGGGAAAACACCAAACTGGCCTCATTTAGGAAGAGGCAATGTGGCTGTGGGAGAAAAGCTGCCATATGTGAGCCTTGCTTTATGCCTGTTGAAATTTTTGTATTTTAGGTCTCTCGGGGACATGTCCATTGTGCTATTGTGTAATTTTATCAGCATGAACTTCTGCTGAATATTTTTCCTCCTTTTCAAAATCCATACATGGGTACAGCTAACTTCCAATCTAAATGTTGCAACATCTGTGCTCACACACCTGGGGGCCATGGAGGATCTGTCCTGAAGATTATCTACATTTTCTAATTTTATAAAATGCTGCAAAAATGAGAGGAAAGGTACGCAATTTTCTTGGGCTGCAGTTCTTTTTTAAAGGGACCACTTTCTGCCATTTTTAGCATCATGTTAGAGCTATAGAAAATATTTCTAGAAATGTAACAGAACACTTGCTACCTTTGTTTAAAGATACGCTGAGGATTAAATTGAGGACCTTGTGCACGCTAGGAAAATACTCTGTAAGTGAGATAAATACATAATTTTTTTTAAAGCACAGGTTTATGTAGTAAAATAGGACAAAACAAGGAAAAATAGAAAAGGAGAAAGAAATGTACTTTGTCACAGGGAGTGGGCCTAGATAGACTCCAGCCCTTGTGTTTTGGAGACAGAGTCTCATCATGTAGCCTAGGTTGGCCTGGAAATGACAATCTTCTTGCCTTAGCTCTAGTGTACTGGATTACAAGTGTGTGCCACCCAGCCCCAATTGTTTATAGATAATTCTTTATAATATTTTTCCATGAAGAAAACACTTCATAATATACATAATCTGGAGCTACAGTCTCCAAATACTTTTAAACAAGACTCTTTAATAACTGTGTGAATCAAACAAAAGCCAAATAAATTCTATTACTTGGATTTTATTTACTACTTTTCCTCTATGTCTATGCCAACAGCTTGATGGCATCCTTCTTTTAGAAAAAGAAACTCTGATTTTAATATTATTTCTCAAACAGAAGGTTGAGATCTTGACAAAGAAAAAGGAGTTTATAAATAAAATGCCTCATGTATTTTCAATTGTTCTATTTTTCTTTTTTTATATTTTTTAATTTGTTTTTTTTTTTTATTGTGAAAATACTGTACAGAGGGGTTACAATTACATGGGCAAGATAATGAGTACATTTCTTATCAAGCATTGTTGCCTCCTCCTTTGTTTCCCCTTCCCATCCCTATCCATCCTCCCCCCCCCTGCTCCCCCACTCAATCCTCCCAACCTCCCGCACCAAATTGTTCTATTTTTCTAGAATAAAATATGTGACAATATACAGTGTACACCCATTTTGAAATGCTTCTATGAGATTAGTTCTGTCGGTCAAATATTAAGGGCCATTTGTAGAAGGATAATATAGAAAATGTGCAATTTTTATGGAACCAAAAATAGTTACAGAGGACAATGTATAGATTTAGAGAACTCAAATAGAGATTCTCTTGGCTTTGCCATCCATTTATCAAATCATGCAGATTATGATAAAGACTAAATCTTTACAGGATAGTTTCTATGTTCCAGAGGTTGTTTGTTATTTCACAACAGTGTATGGCAACTACTATTGTGATCACTGTCTTATAGGTGAAAAGCCTGAATCAGGTAAGTCAAATCCTTTGTCCAGGGCTGCCCCTCTGTCACTACTGGAGAAGAAAAACCAGAGGATACCATGTGCCCTCATCTCCTCCTTTTTACTGGCTACTGCTGAGTTTTGGATATGATTGGAATGTTCCCAAAATCCTCATATGTTGAAATTTAATCAACGATGTTACGTATTAAATGGGTGGAAATTTAAGTCTGATTATGGTTTGAGAGATGGGGTTTTTGAGAAGTAATTAAGATGATATTAGGTCATCAGGATGGTGACATCATGTCTCTATGATTGAATCCCTGTGGCTTTATAAGGAAAAGGAGAGAGAGATCACACCACACACAGGCACATGGGTGGGTGGGTATACAAGTTTCCTGGTTCTTGCCATGTGATGCATGTGCCACCATGGCTCCCTGCCCAACTGAAGATCATTGACAGGTGTATGTCCTCAACTTTATACCTTCACACACAGGAGTTCAAATGAACTTCTATTTTTTCATAGAAAAAAAATACAATTTTACCTACACTGTGGTATTATTAGCAACATAAAATGGAATGAGGCAAGGAGTTTGCTTTTATATAACAGAATAGCTCTCAATTATTACTCCAAAAAATAAGATAATAGATAGGATACATTTGAATTTTTTAAAAGTTTAGACAACCAGAAATTCTTCAAGGTAGAATTAGAAATCTTCAAGGTAGAACCAGGTAAAGCTCTTTAATAAAAGACAGGGAGGCAAAACATGGCTAATTCAAGCCCACTGATAGTGCATTCTTGCAGTGGAAAGTCGGATTTAAGTAAAGAACACAGCTTCAAAATTGCTACAAGCAAGCATCAGAATCTGACTTTTCCTTTTTCCCACATGCCCTTCTATATGTGCAAAGAAAGAGGGGTAATGCATGTTTAACTCTTTACCAATTAGTATGAGCTTCCATGCTAGGCTAGAAGGTGCTAAGTGAGAGCATTTCCTCTATAAGTCAAGTTAAAAAGAAAATGGCTGGCTGCTGGTGGCTTAGGTCTGCCATCCAACCTAATCAGGAAGCTGAGATCTGAATCACAGTTCAAAGATAGCCCAGAAAGAAAAGTCCATGAGACTCTTATCTTCAGGTAACTAGGAGAAATTCAGATGTGGAGCTGTGACTCAAATGGTAGAGTGCCAGCCTTGAGCAAAGAATCTGAGTGAGAGGCCTTGTGTTCAAGCTCCAGTACTCAAATAAATAAATAAATAAATAAAACAAAATGAAATTTTACCAGTTGTTTTTATGACTTAATTCATTTTTTCCCTTAGGTATAATATATAAAGCAAATAATTTCTGCAATAGAAAAAAAAGTATATAAGAGTTCTTGCTAGGATTTGAAAATTCTCTACTGTCTTTGCCAGACACAATATACTCAAAGCATAACATTAATTTGACTTTCCAGGAACATGGTTTCCTGAGGCTGAACTAGGACTTGCATAGAGGAAAAAGTTAGTAGAAACATAAGCATGGAAATAGCTACAAATGTAGTGGAAACTTAAAAAAATCAAAATCACTAACTTAGTCCAATAATAAAACAATGTCAATGTCCCTGTCAAGAAGGATCCATAATTAAAAAGCTATAGTCACAACTGACCTGATTTTACAATGAATATCATGTCTGTGTTTCAATTTGGAAACAAAATTGTTAACGAGGTCCTATAAACATGGTCTACAAGTTCTCACCCTGAAACTGTTCTGCAAATAACTGTTTATTGAACAGCCATCAGATTTATTATACAGTATAGCAAACTATTTCGTGAGCATTTTAAAGAGGTTCTTTTATATTTGAAAATTGGACTGTTCAAGTTCTTCAATAAATGCTCAATTTCTTGGATAATAGCATTGTAAGAAAGATTTTCATAAAATTTTTCTTTACTGAAAATTTCTCTTTACTCCAACTGATGCTTTAATATTTACCAAGTGTTCATTCCTTGTATGTCATCAGAAATCATTGTGATGTCACATATTTTAACAGTACTCAATATTATCCTATCCTAATATTAGCAGACAAAGATAGGAGGCATATATTCTAGACATACTTCACACAAATTGAGTCTTCAATCGATACCAAACAAAGGGATACAAGAAGAAATCAATACATAGTGGTTAATTTATTTGTTTAAAGCTATTTTGGATATTCTAGAACTTACATCCCTCCAATGTATAATTTTCATTTCTTATGGACTGTCTAAATACTATAGTTTGGTCCCAACATGATAATTCAAAAAATTTTACATTGACCGTATATGAATTACAAACGCAGCTTCACTGTATCTGGAAGGAAAGAAAATGTTACTCATTCCTTCTTTGGCTACTCCTTGATTTTTTCCTAGTTTTAAAAGCAGGTTCAGAGTTAAAGACATGTTCATTTTCCCCCTGTATAGGCTCTGATTAAGTGAGGATAATTATGGGTCTTGAGTTCTAGGCAGGAATTTCAAGAACTGTTGCATTCCTACTAGGTTAAGAGCAGTCCTACCTGTTCCATCTTCATTTTCTTCCTCTTCATCTGTCAGTGGGATCACTTCTGGTTGCTCCACCATCATGGCCTCCTCCTGGTTTGAGGCAATCTCTAAATAGAACAAGGCAGAAGGATACTCAAGGGTGGAGTGTAAGGTGGAATCATTGGGCAAACAGTGACTACAACACAGAGAGTAGCAGTTCCTTTTCATCTCTCCAAGTACCACTACCCTTCAGCTACCCTCCCCTAACAAACATGCATGCCACTCACACACACACACACACACTTTATCTAGCATAACCACGGCACACAGCTAGGTCTATCGTATTATCTGAGAGCAGTATGTGCTGATTTCAGTACCTTCTGTTTCCATAGATGAGCTCTGGGACTCAGTCTCAAGTTTCACTTCATTCTTTGTTGATTCACTCTCTTGTCCTGTTAAAATCAGTGATTGAAAAATAAAAGACATGTAATACGCGTGACCCCAGCTTTATCCGTGGTTTGAAACAACAAAACCTTTAGAAATCATACAGAACAGATTTGAGGTGAAGTTGAAAGTCATAATATAATTTTTCAAATAATCACATTTATATCAAGTATTTTATGGGAAATAGCCAAGTGATTTGTGTTAAAAAAAACTCTTTTTGTTATAATTAGTAATCAATTTATGATGTTCTGGACATAGACATGAACTGAAGGTTTTCGAATTTTAAAATAACTTCTGGGCTATATGGGTTAACTATGTTTAACTGCCTGGAGAAGGCTGTATTTTCCTATCTGTGACCATGTGAACCTCAGTGGTTCCTCTGGAACAATTATATTCCTACCTCCTTGGCCCCAGGCCTCTTTAAAAAATTTCTCTGACTTCCAGACACTGGTGAAGGACATCTGTAATCCTAGCTACTCAAGAGGCTAAGCTCTGAGGATCCCAATTCTAAGTCAACAAAGGCAGAAAAGTCGATGAGTCTCATTCCTCTAATGAACTATCAAAAAGCTAGATGTAGAGCTATGGCTCAAGTAGTAGTGAAAAGTTCAAATAATAGTGTGAGACTCTAAGTTCAAGCCCCAGTCCTGTCGCGTGCGCATACACACACACACACACACACATACACACACACACACACACACACACACACACACACACACATGCACAAAGGCCCTGGGACAGACATGATATATGTGTATCTGAGCCGAGAAGTTGAAGATCTATTGCATGTTCCCTTAGCAATCTTCTTGGCATGAACCTGTGGGGCAAAGTCAAGCAGAGACAGGTAATAGTACTACAGCCCTTGTTGTTGAAAGGCACTGAGACTTTAGGGCGTATTTGTTACTGTAACAGTGCTGACTTTCATTACCCTGAGTCCTTTATTTTCCTATATCATACAGCTATTCTTACATCACCTCCATGTTCCTTCACCTTGCTTCACTCTCTGCCAGTTCATCAAATGGGAAGAAATAGCTTCGTATGACATCCATTCCTGCTAAGCTCCATTTTGATCAAAAGGACTAGATGAAATAATTAAAACCAAATATATTATCCATGTGATCAGTGAAGCCAGAAACTGTAAGCTGTCCTTGATGGCTTTCTTTCATCATTTCCCAAAGTTTGGTAGAATCTCAACTACTGAGTCTAAAAACTGTTTATATTTTCCTTCCCCATTCCCCAATCCTGCTAACCTTCCCCCTACTGCCAGTTTCTCAGCATCATTTGTTTCCTAGATGTTTCTTCTCTTCTAATCTCTTGCTAGCAGAAAGGTATTTTATAACTACACATTGATCAAGACCTTCTTCCCACTGCTACTCAGATAACTTTCTGGGGACAAGCAACACTGGAATTACCGAGAAACTTTAAAAAATGCAGAATATGAGACCTCTTTCCAGACATGCAGAATCAGCACTTGTTTGATTTGTATGCATGCTAAAACTTGAGCAGCACAGGCCTACCAGAGGTAAGTGGACCCCACAGCAATGCCAGACTTTACTACACACTGCACTATCTCTAATCACCAAATTAGCTGCAAATTAGTGTTCCAATCCTCATTCTACTTTTACCCTTCAGTAGGAGATCTGTGGCACCGTAATGTCACTTTTCTGTTTTGCTTCATCTGGACTTTTCATGTTTGGATGGGACATTATGGTTTGAGTTCAGTGTCTTGAATTTATTAAACAAGTTCTCTAGCACTTGGGTCATATCCCTGACTCTCATGTTTTAGTTTGTTTATCGGATAGGGTTTTATGCTTTTAGATAAATGGCCTACAACTAGTCTACTTTTGCCTTCTATTTCTCAAATTCTTATTTCTTCCTCCTAAGTAGCTGAGATTATAAGAATGAACCATTATGTTCATCTTGGAGATAACTTTATTTTGCATTTTCAAATTCATATAAGAAAACATACAGATGTAAGTATACCACATAATGACTTTTTATATGTATACACATCCGTATTCATATACATGTTTTTGATCACCATCCAAATCAAGAACTGCCTTCTTGATTTTCCCCAACAGTGTTTCTGCTTTTAAAATTCATAGAAGGAAAACATTATTATGTATCTTAGTTTTAAAACACAATCTATTATCTTCAGGTACTACATAATATAAAACTGAATTGTTTTCAATTTGAGCCTATTATAAACAACATAATACTAATAATACTTTTATTTGTATACTTTGTGGGCATATATATTCTTATTATTTGGCTATGAACACCATAGTGAAGTTGCTAAACAATATTATTTAACTTTACTAGACAGTGAGAATAGTGTTCTAATGCCCACATCAGAAATGTGTGGGAAGTCCATTTGCTCCTTTTGTTCTTTAGATGATGTCATGCTACTACTAGTCATAAAATTGTTTAGTATAAAATACTAAGGGATGCAGAATCTTTCCCATAGCCAATTAGTTTCTACCCTAACCACCTGTGTGTCAACTGAGAGAGAAAATCAGCACCATCAGCCATCCATTCCTTCTACAGTATTATGGGTGACACTAAATATGGTTGTGCCAGAGGTGGATACCACAAAATATAGCTATGTCAGGGGGCTGGTTGCCATAAAACATGGCTGTGTGTCAGGGGCTGGGAGTGGATTTTTCACAAGGGAGAGCTTGTCCTTAAGATGGCTGGTATTGCAAAAACCCAAGCCAGAGCAATGCAAAGAGGTTCATTCTAGAAAAACCTGAAATGGAATCTTGAAGTCAGAAGAAAAATAACACTTGCAGCAAATGTTTAGATGATAGAAAACAAAGAGAAAGAAATGATACATTGAATAACAAAGTCAAGGCTGGTGTAGTCAATAAAGTAGTTGAAACACTATGATATTTATTAACTACAAATGCAAAATTCTAAAATCAAATTTATAAAATTAACTCCAAGAAATAAGGAGAGGACATTGGACATCTTTTATGATTAAAAAAAATAATGCCACAGGTTTTAAATTCCAGGTCTTCTCTAGATTATGCCAGATGGACACCAGAATGACTGAGTGGAAAGAAAGACTCAGCTATGAATCACACTGAAAGTAAAGGGCATGTTTGCAGTTTTTGTCCTGGCAACATTTTACCTGAGTAGTTATTTCCAGCTATCCAAACAAAGACAGGATTTAAAATAAGAGGAGGCGATTATGCTAAGAGAAAAGTACTTTTGTAAAGGATATGTTCAGAAAAACCAACAGCTTAGAAAGAATCCTTGTGTTTGCAATGAAATGGAAGGAAATGAAAAGATGGTTTGATGATGAGGAAATTGAGACAATAAGAAAAAAAAAACCTGTATAAACGTGAAAACATTGTCAGTAGATAAAGTAGACCCTAACACATCAAACTCTTGATGAAAATACACTAAGAAGGCAAAGGTACTGAGAAAAGAAAACATGAAACAGTGATAGATACACAGGACAAAAAAATGCATTTTGAGATTTAAGATTTTGGTCAGAGGAGAACATAAGTTAGTAGTTTTAATTCCACAGACATGCCCTCTCATAAATGGATATTAATGGAAACCAAAACTGAAAGTCTATATGTCAAATGTTAACAATGATAGGTTTGAATTGTAAGTGGGATTTTAAATGCAATTGGAATTTTCTAACATTTTTAATATTTCATAACTTGAATGTGCTATGTTAATAGTTATGATGGAACAATTTTTAAAAATCTAATAAATTGCTCTCAATGATATCATAGAAGAAAAATTTCTGAGTAAAAGGAGTTACATATGTATGTTTATGCAACACATGCACACGTATACCCTAAGCCTTTTACTTTCTCTCAGTTCCTGTTGTACTTGAACTCTAAGAAACATCTGAGAAATGGAACTAGTAATAACTATTCTTCAATGTCTCTGTTCTTTCTCTTTGGGCCAAAATTAATGTATCCTATGGTCTTTATACTCTAACATACTTACAATTTTCTAAACATACTTCTTGATTTTTTGCCTATTTAATATGCTTTTCCAATGGCTAAAGCATTCATTTGGGTTCTGTGGATTTGTTGTTGTTCTTTCTTACATAGTAAAATTCTTCTGATCTTTTAAAAATTTTTTTTAATTGTTAAAAATAGTGTACAGAGGGGTTACAGTTATATGGGTTAGATGATGAGTACATTTCCTATTGAGCATTGTTACCTCCTCCTTTATTTATTTCCTACTATCCCTTTCCTTTCCTCTTCCCCCTTCTTCCCCCTCTCCCCCCCCCCCCCCCGCCAAGTTGTAAAGTTCATCTTCAATATAGTGTCTTGTACATCTCCTTGTTACAATGGGTAAACCTATAAAGCAAAGATCTCAGTGTGTCCTCTGTGTGTACAGGCGATCTCTGAAACACTGGACAAGATGAATCACATTTATGTTTTTGTTTATTGAATTCCTGGCTCATTCATCCACTTACTGGTTTCCTTAAAACACTTTCCTATCCTAGTGTTTGTTTTTCTTTCTTACTAAACTATGAATATTTGCAGATAGACTTTCCATTTTCTTTATATTTTCCTTTCTAGCACCTACTAAAGAGGAGCCACCCAAAAGTGTCTTTGTAACTGGCCCTATAACATTCCTCATCATAGTTACTAGAATTAACTTACTTTCCCTCATCCTTTAATAGCAAAGTAAATGTCCTATGCTAGCTACTAGACACTGCTTTTATGATATTACTGCAAAGATTTCTGGTATGGGAGCCAAATAAGTAGATGTTTTATGCAAATCACAGCTTCTCTGAGTCCCAGTTTAATCATTTATGGGGCCAAAAGGGGAATGACCATAGATATTCTCCTAGACTTCTATGCCAGTGACATCTCCAGCCTATTGGGTGAATCGCATTAAGCAGGAACCTTCACCCTGTAAGGGGAAAAGCCTCTCCTCCCCCCTTTCCCCTACCCATGTGTGTGTGTGTGTGTGTGTGTGTGTGTGTGTGTGTGTGTGTGTGTGTGTGTGTGTGTGTGTGTGTGTGTGTGTG